CAATATATTAAAAACCCTCAGTATTTTAGCTATTAACAAATAATTTGGCACATAGCTTATTATCAGTTGTCAAAACCTCCTCTAGGCTCATATTAAAATGCAGAGGTCTTTCAAAATATCTAATTCCTCCTTCCTCTCACCTCACCTTGTTGTGTATGACTATGTAAAATAATACTAATTACAGTCATTTTCATGAGCTGCTTCTCATTTATGCCTCATTAGCATAATTCACAGTAGTTACCCATACCATTAAATGAGTGTTAGTTACCTTTGCTGTATCTGATGATTATACTCAGTTCCATTTTGGGGAGCTAAGCCTTCACTGTTTGTTGTGCATGTCCCATGACTGACTGCTTACAGAGTAGAAAAATTGGACAGAATACTTCTGATAAGGAAAATGCAGGAAAAGCTCTGCAGAAGTAGGTATCTAAAAGAAGTAGGCTCTTGAGCAGCTGACAATGCAAGCCATCCGGTGACTAAGCAATAAGTGACTCTGAATAAAGGAGAAGTAGGAAGATGCCCATCATGATCAGATCAATGGAATTGTGAATGCAACATCTGCCCTGGGTGCGCTCGATATGCAGTGTCTCCTTTGGCATAAAAGGTGTTGGACCTTGAAGCCTTAAATTGACTTCATTTTGCATGTGATGCATTCATGAAACTTTTATTTGGGGTTGTTTTAGTGTTTGCCCACCTTGCTCCAGGTTCAAGGGGAAACAGCATGGTGGAAGGAATTCTAACATAGGGGTCAGATGCAATAACATTAGAGAAAATGTAAAAGAAACAAAGAAAAAAAAATAAGAGTCTCTCTGTCATCTGGATTGCTAACTATCTGTGTGACCTTGGAAAAGTCCATTTACTTCTCAAGCCTGTTTTCTCATCTATGAAATGAGAAGTTTAGGCTAGGACCCAAAATAGCTCTGGAATGTAGAATATGACCGCTTCTGAAGGGACAGTTCTAGGACGTGCTTCTTGCTTCACGGATCAAATATTTAGGAGTAAAAAGTATGCAGAACTTGGCAAAGCCAGATATATATTTATGCTTCTCAGTGCAGCAACTGATTTCTTCCCCAACCCAGGGCTCTACAAGCTATTCTTTGTTCGATGGTGGTGGTTTGTACTTTTAATTTTTTTCTTCCATAAATTTTTTAAAAAAAGATTTAAGTGACTGCTATTATTAGTAGGTGACAAGCAGTTTGGAAATAGAATATTAATTTAAGAACTGAGAAATAACATGAAAGCTTAAACTTTTAAAATAGACCTAAGTGTTCAGAGTTGAGACTATATGATGTAGTTATTTCAGTTGATTTATTGGGAGCTCATATACGTGACTTTGCCAAGCCCTGTATACATTTTATTAAATATTTTCATTGGCATAGCAAAAACCGCAACCTTAAACTATCCCTTTGGAGGTAATCAGATGGCAAACTCTACAGTTGTAATTGCCTTAATCTAACCTTCTCATTTCATAGGTGAGAAATGGTTCTTTTTCTGTGTCATGAGGTCAAAAATGTCAGGATTCCATGGTGTTCTACATAGGAGACTGTAATAGTCAGTCCTCTGTTCCTTGAGCTGATTTGAAAGGCAGAGTCCCAAAAGTATTGACTTCATCTTCATTTTTCTAATGAGAGAACTGACAGTTGGTAAACTGTAACTTGCCCAAGGTTACAGCCAGTTCATGGTGCTCCCCGGGACTCACAGGCAGTCTGATTCTTGGCTCAGTTATGATGTATCCCTTCCTAATTTGGACTTCTTGCCAAAATGCCAGTTCTCTAAGAGGATGGAGTTTGCTTGGTACGGAGGTATCCCCAGAACCTCAAACAGGGCCTGGCAGGGCAGGAACAGGTGGCCAGCCAGTGACCCTATGAATTGTTTTGTCCCTATCCTGATTCTAGTGCGTAGCCATTGTGCCTTCATGCACAATTTCTGAGGATATCCAGACTGTTGGGAATCGAGGCCCTAGAGGGAGAGAGTAAGAAGGAAGATGGGGGATTCCTTTCTGGCAATCCTGACTTCTCAGTCCCAAGATGTTTACTGGATAACACTTTATTGGAAGGCAGAGCACTGAAGGAAATATCAACCATTTCATATGAATTAATGGTTCTGCTTCTAAGCTCTAAAAATGACAGATCTCTCAGTTCTCCATTCCCTTACTCTCCTGCCTAACTACATAAGTTTCTGTGATTTAATTGTCCAAGAAACTTACTATCCATCTACTCAATTACCTTTACATCCCATCAGCAATTTGACTTCCCTTCTTTGCATTTGGGATCATGATTTCCCCAGTTGGAAAGAGTTTTGAAAAAGGCAGGAAGGTAAGCTTGGAGCTCAAGAAATAATAAAGAATAATACTGTAATCATAACAACTCATTATTTGTTTTTGAAGCTTGATCTTTCAGAAGGTTATTATCTGGAGTTGAATACTAATAGATTCAAGCTCTCTTTATGCAGAGGAAATCTTAAACAGCAGTGTTCATGGGGAAGGACATTAATCAGGAGAGAGAAGTGAGCCTTGAGCCTAATAATGTTTGCATAATAGCTACCCTTGGGTGTATTGCTTGACTACAGAATATATATCCCCGCTTTCCATCTCCAGTACAATTGGAAATTATTTGTGGTTATGATTCTGTTATATGATCTTCTACCTGTTCATGGGGACTTTAAATCGGGAGGCTGCTGGAAACCAACAAACGTAGTAGTACTTGTGAATGAGTCTGAGGTAGACATTTAAAGAGGCTATAATATTGGGCAATCCGGAGAAAATGAGCAGAGAGCAGGTCATAATTCTCTTTCCAGGAGTGGGGAGGGTGGGATCAAACTGGCATGGTTGACATTTATATGCTTCTCTGGTGTATTTTTACCTCTGCAATGGTTCCTCACCACCTGCAGGATAAACTCCAAGCGCCTTATCTTGACAGAAGAGGTGCTCACTAGCGGGGCGGGGGGGTCCCTCCGACTCCGCAGCACCTTATCTGCAGCCACTTCCCACCCCAGGGAGGATGATATACAGCTCTTCGAAGGTTCCCTTAGACATCACAACTTAAACTCCATGTCTTTGTTCAGATCCTACCTTCTTCTTGCAAGGATTTTCCAAATCCTCTTTGCTAGTTAATTCCACTTACCACGGAAGAGTTGGCTTGAACTTCGCCTCCTCCAAGAAATCTTTGAACTCCACAGCTAACCAATAAGTTTTCCCCCAACTTCTGATATTTTTTCTTTCTTTTCGTTCTTCCTCCCTTCTTTTCCTTTCCTTTCTTTTTCTTTTCTCTCTTCCCTTCCTGCTGCTCCTCAAATAGACTTTGTCCTGGGGAATTCCTTTATTGTCTTGATTTGCTGCTTATATACACCAAATTTTTTTGCAGAAGTGCTTTAAATTAATGAACTCATTTTTCTTCTTTTCTCTCTCTTTTCTCTATTTCTCTTTTTTCTTTTCATTTCTGGGAAGTGTTTCAATATAATCTTGAAAAAGTAAGCACTCTATTGTTTCGAACTTATAAAGCTTTCATTTGTCGGTTTTGTTCTTATGATAGAGAGATGAGCAAGACAGCTGTTTATTTTACAAATAAGAAAACTGGTTCAGAAACATTGACTTGTTAAGCTTACATGTCTGCTAAGTTAGAGATTAGAATTAGACTCTAAGTCCAGTGCCTTTTTAAAAAAATATTATTTATTTATTTGGAGAGAGAGAGAGTACACATGCGTGTGCAAGTGAGCGGCCCGATTGTCACCATAATGCGGGTCCCTGTGTCCAGTCCAGGCCTCTGTCCAGTAGAGCTCCACTAGCTCTGTAAGGCCTGGAGAAAAGGGAAGGAAATAGTCTTTATAGGTTATCAAGTTTATAGTATTGTGAAAAGGCACTGCATTGGGGTGCCTGGGTTGCTCAGTCGGTTAAGCGTCCAACTCTTGATTTTGGCTCAGGTCATGGTCTCAGGGTGGTGAGACTGAGCCCCAAGCCAGGCTCTGAGCTCAGCGGGGAGTCTGCTTTAGAGTCTCTCTCCCCCTACCCCTCCCACTCATGCTCTCTCTTTCTCTAAAATAAACAAATAAATCATAAAAAAGATAAAAATAAAATGATACCTTAAGAAATAAGATTCAAGTTACTTCTAAAATTTTGTGCTATTCAAGCCGTACAATAATCTATTTTTTCGGTAGTCCTAGAACCTGGGTATTTGTTTTTCTAAAGGACCATTTCCAACCTAACGCACGTGTTCCGTTCAGGAACCAACACTGTCATTAGATGCTCGCACATCCTGCCCTCTCTGAGAGTCCCCTCCTTTACCTCCCAAGTGACTTGTATGTGCGCTTCGATTTTTGCCCCTGGAGCTACATGTTTTTACAATTAGTTTAGATTTCCTAAGTCTTTGAGTTCTTTCCGTAAGAGTCGCCAGTGGATTAGATGCTGACCGCATGGTTATTTTCTTCAGAACATAAAAAAGCATCCATGTTCTTTCCTCACTACCTCCAGTCCTCTTCATTTCCATAATGGTAGGTGTTTGTCTCTCACTACAGAGCAAAATTATTAGTGATTTTTGGAACCCCGAGAGGACAAAGTGGAAGGAACTGGAAAGAAGGGAGCAGAAGCAATCACGGTTAGGCACCCAGTCCACCTCACAGATGAGTTGAGAACATCCATACGATTTCATCGACCATTTTAGTCCTTCTGTAAGATTTAGACTTGCTGGTTGACAGATGTGGAAACCGGGCTCAGAGGGTTTCCGTGATTCACCCACAACTTGTGTCAGAGCTAAGATTTGAATCTAATCTCTGTGGCTCCAAGTTTCATGAGGGGGTGTCCAGGTAGGATAGAATGGGTGCCCGGGTAGTGAAGGGATGAAGAGAAGGCTTTAGCCTGTTGCAAGATGCAACCTTTGGCATGCTTCTCCTTCCCTGATTCCTGCCCCAAATGTAGACTATTTCTACAAAATATGGATCCAGCCCTTGGGGATTTTTTAATGAGAGGGTCTTCTACTAATGGGACATCTCTCTTTTGTCTCCCACAGCAATTTTGCAGGCAGTAATAGCTGGTGATCTTATGAAGGTAAGATATCTTCCTACCCAAACTTTTGGTGATTCTTTAAGAACTTTAACATCGTTTCTCACCAAATATTCATGATCTCTCGTATGTCATGTATCATCCTCCTGCCTGTGCTGAATGACTTGGAAGGGGAAGGATGCTCTTTTGACGACTGGGCAGGGAGGGCCAGAGGAGTCTTCACAGCATCTCCACGTTTCCCAGCAGTGGAGAATGTATGCAGGGGTACCAGGCTGGTTGTCTCGACTCGTTAACATGGGCTGCACGTTCCCTGGATGCAGTGCTCACAGTGTCGGGAATTCCTGCTCTCTAGAAGCTGATATTTGCAGTTTAAAGGTTTCTTTTTAGACAGGTCTTGAAATGAGTGCATCTGTAAGTATTATCTGGACAACACCCAGAAATACATTCTCCAGGCCAGAGCCTGCAGCTTCCAGCATGATTACAGTTTTGTACTCTGGGGATCACAGTTAAACCAAAAGAACATGCTCCGTCTCATCTCCCTCGAACACTTTAATTCAAGCTTATGTTTTCTTAGTTCAGAGAGAAGGAAGTGGTCACTGCTGCCTCTAGAGGGAGTGCACATTCTGGGGTCAGACTGCCTGGGTTCAGATCTTGGCTCTGCCATTCACTGTAGGTGTGACTTTGTATAATTATCTGATTCTCTCTGTGCCTCAGTAAACTTGAATAATGTTGCCTCTCTCCTTTGTTGTGAGGATCAACCGTAACAATACATGTAAACCTCTTAAGACTGTTTTTATTCCATAGAAGGGACTCTAAAATGCTAGCTAGTAGTGTTAGTCCATGTTTTTTTAATAAACATAGTGGAGATGCAAATATTTGTTATGTAGTATAGTCCATGAGTATTCTAAAAGCTATATTTGGTCTCATGTCATTTTCAGGCATTGGGACTCGTGACTGCCTGTATATCCCTGTATAACCCACATTGGCATCGATCTGCTCTATAATATCAGCAGCTGTGTAGGGACAGAGGCTCTGCCTTACTCACCAGCCTGTGGAGTATGGTGCCATTGCAGATCGAGAAACCAAAAGCCTTAAAAGAGAGCTGAGAAGCACTGACCTTGCATGCAACTTTTTTTGAAGCCCGTCTGTTGAATCAACTGAGAAACCTCTGTGCTACAATGTTAACAGGTTACTCATAGGAAAGAAATGGTGAGAAGCTTGCAAGCTTCTTGATAAACTGCCATCTTTAGACACCTAATTCTGGAAATGGTGCCTGTGGCACAGTCTACATCGAAGAATTGTCACCCACAAGACAAAAGGACTCTCCAAGCAGTGTACCTGGGAGTTTGATGCTATTGCCAAGCAGTGGATTGAACCAATATTATCCCAGATTCCCTGCAAGGCCTTATATTAGATGCTTTGGGCAGTAAGGCGTGATTCCTGCCCTTGCAGAGCTTCTAAGCCAAAAAAATGTGCAAACTACTGTACGTTTGACATCTTCTTATCTCATTTTGCATATGCTTTTAGTCTAGGCAGCATATTTTTTGGGTCCCTGGTGTATACAACCCCACTTTTTTTGTACTTAATAGAGAATTATTTGAGATATGGGAAATTGCCATATTCAGTAGGTTGTCTTATTACGTTCTCTGTTACAATCATTTCCTAAGTGCCTAAGAGATTACTTAACCTTATTTATGGAAAGATGAAATACAGTGACTTAGTTTTTCTTTCTCATTCTTTTTCTCTTTCCTTCCCAAGTTTTTCTTCCCCTTTTCTTTCTTCCTTTCCACCTTCTTCTGTTTGTCTGTTCCATACCATGCAGAAAGCAGAAGAAATATTAGATATTAAACTGTGTGTGTGTATGTAAGAGAGAGAGCACACAGCAGACAGCAGAGAACCGAAGACCCCAGGGGCCATCCAGTGTGAAGGCTGTGGGGAGCGTCTGCTGTGCACCTGAGTTGCATGAGATACCCACGGACTAACTTCATGTCCGCAGTGTCCCAAAAACCCCACAGAAAGGCAGCATCCAGGCAGCTGATGGATTGGGTCTGTGCTTCTCCATTGAGCCCAAATCCCTTATGGATCTGCCTATGAAGAGAAGGAGTGTCAGTGTAAGACTAAGGTTGAACAGTACTGGATAGGCTTAGATTCTTTCTGGAAAACTATTAGCTACCTCTTGCTGTCCTATAGCCTTGTAGTTTAAGGAAAAAGTCCTCATATGTTCTTTACTTCCATTCAACTAGTCCTTTTTGGCCTATTTTCTAGGAAGCCTTCCCTGACTCTTTTTTCACCCTGTGAGAACCTCCTTATGTTCCTCTCCATTCCTGTATGTGTCTTTGTGACGTCTGTCTTCCCCATGGATGGCGAGGTCTTGAAGCCAATGACCAAGTCCTGTTATATCTTTGTTTCCCTGGCATCTGCCACATGGCAGTTCCATGGCTGGATATGAGTTTACTTTCTGTGACCTTATGAGAGGCTTACTTTTTTTTTTTCTTTTCTTTTTTTTAGTGTGCCCTCTAACTTCTTGGTGATAGATCCATTCCTTTTCCTTGGTACCTGCCGGGTTATTGTATTCTTATTTGTCCTGAAACTACCTCTTAGAAGTTCCAGAAAGACTCTTTTTGTTCTCCTATACTGCAGTTTGGAGAACAGGGACCCATTTACACTTTCTGTAATGTTCAGTATTTCATGAAATCAGACCGCATCCTCATTTTGCCACGTGATTCTTGGGCTGCAAAATCTGTTGGTCATTTTCCAGTCTGTTCTCACAATATAGGTATTTTAGGTTTCCGCTGCCACATTCTCTGAATCCTTTGGGTTCTCGTCCTGTGGATCATCTCTAGCCTCACTGGGTATGGATTGGATGATTAACAGAAGGCGTGCTGGCTGGGTTGCAGATCTGGAAGAAGAAAGAGGCTGTACACACGTGTACCACCATCTCCCACGGGAAAATGGGAAGGAGCTTCTGTATTTGGTAGCTAGGTTCATTAGAGGTTGGAGAGAAACCATAGGCTCGGAAAGGAGCTTAGCTACCAGACACCAAGCTCTTCCTGTCTCCGGCCTTAATTACTCTTTCACTCCAGAGAAAGCCGAGCCAACATAGGAAAGTGTTTCTTCTCTTTGCTGCCCTTCACTCTCTTAGGACAGCGACCAGTGCCCAGAAAAGAAAAAGACATCAAACAGAAAAGAAATAACTCACTCAGCACGTTTCAGCTTCCACATTTTAGTGCCCACAGACCCTCTCCAGAGGGAGGGGAGACACTGGCCAGCTATCCGAGTGCTAACACGGTGCAGGAACGTTGCTTCATCTCTTTGACTTCTCAGCGTCCTCTGAGGCTAGAAACATTTGTGGTTTGCTACATCACTCTTATTTTATCACCGGTTAGCTGTACTTTCCCTTGTTCCGGACTCTGCCTGAGCTGCTTTTCCTGTGTCTCTTTCTCAGCTAATGGAAAGCTATAAAAATGGAGGCAGTCTGCTAATTCAGGGGCCGGACCACTGCTCCCTCCTCCACCACGCAGCCAAAACCGGCCACGGGGAGATCGTGAAGTATATCCTGGACCACGGTAAGTAGGCGCAGCGAACCAAGGGGCACTTATCCACAAAGCAACTGAACCGTCTAAGCGGGCTCTCAACCCGGCTGTCTTCAGAACAGTAGAAATGCTCCCCACCTTTGAGCTGACACCCCCTGCTGATGTGAGGCGGACGGAACCACAGACCGCTGACCCATGTGGGTCGCTGTGACCGAACGGCTCCTAGAAATAATTCTCATATCCAGGTCTTCTCAGGATATTGGTGAGCTGATTGATTGAAAAATAAAAGACAAAAACAAATGCGTCCTGACATAATATGCTGGATTGTTTTGGGAAGCGCTTTAAGTTGCCTGGTTGGGACCAGGTACCAAATCCATGCTCGTAGCTGATCATTCTGAGGATTACATGAGCACGGCTTTTTCCAGTTTTTTGGCTTGTCTCTCTCTCTCTCTCTCTCTCTTTTTTTTTTCTGCTTGGATCTCATTCATCTTTTCAACTTAAGCCATGCTTCATTCTCTTTGAAAACATCTGGGACTCCCATATCTTCCGTGGTTAGACAGTTGCTCGAACTAGCATATACCTTAGCATATTTCTCTCATGGTCCTTTAGAGGCATGAACACACGGAGAGATCCCATATCTTGACCAGTACTTTCAGCTTCCCATGTTCATAGTGTTTCTAGGAATTAAGAACAGGAGTAAAGGGAAAAACCTGCCTGGCTTGGCTATCTTTGAGGGGGAAAGGATTGGAGCAGCCTCTAGGTCTGCTGGATGTAGGTACACAGAGATCCTGGAGGACTTTCTCTGCGCCCTAGCAGTGAAGCTGTGGCATCCAGATCCAGGCTGAAAAGAGTAAGTGTATTTGTAGACGTGCACTGTCCTTTTTGCTCCTCTTTTTTTTTTTTCTTTTTTTTGAGGGAGAGAGAGAGCATGCGTGTATGAACAAAGGAGGAAGAGAGCGAGGGAAAGAGAGACTCTTAAGTAGGCTCTATGCTCAGCACACAGCCCAACATGGAGCTCAGTCTCACAACCCTGAGATCATGACCTGAGCCAAAATTAAGTCAGACGCTTAACCGACTGAGTCACCCAGGCACCCCCACTCCTCTTTTTATTCACTTCAGCATGTCTTTCAGTCAGCACATATTTGTGGAGTGCTTAACAGGAGCTACCTGTTAGAGACCGGTGTGTACACACACACACACACACACACACACACACACACACACACACAATACAGTCACTATTTTCAGGCAATTGAGGCTAAAAAACATATAATCATATGCAGAATTAAATTGAAAATGGTTCTATATGGATGTTTTAAGTCCTATTGTAAAGCCACAGGTAGATAACATAGCTACCATTTGTCACACACTTACTCTATTTTCAGATGCTTATACTAAACATCCTATCATTTAATCTTTACAAGGACCTTGCAAGGTAGGTATTAGACTGTCAGGTACATTTGACTCATCTTGTTTTGTCTTCAGTTCCTTCTCACCGTGATGAGTTTGCTTGAACCCTTGGCCTGAGTTATGGTGGAGAGAACAGTTTAGGAAAAGGAAAGCATGTGAAAGCAGGATGGAGATCATTAGACCATCTCTTTCCCCCTTATAGGCTGGGCTGGACAGTCCCAAGCCTGTCTGTGCTGGAAAGCTCAGGTGGTAAGCTGTATTCCTTGGTGCTGTGTCTGGGATATGAATCCTTTCATCTGCTGTTCACCATTCGACCCACTGCAATGAAAGAATTTGGGTGGGGGGGGCAAGACTTACAAAGCAATGATCGCATAAGTTCTGCTTGCCTCCTTTGTGAAAAACAAAAACAAAACAAAACAAAAAAACCATAGGTGTTTTTTCTTTCCCATAGTGACTTCTCCAAAGGCTGGTGAGAGGCAAAACCAAATGTTAGAATCCAGCCCCCACAGACTATGAATAAAGCCACAGAGCTTCTATGATTATCTTTCTCTTAATCAAAAAGATCTCAGGATTTCTACCACCCAGAATGCAGATGAGCTTTAGATATACATACTGTCAGTTTAGTTGTTTTTAGCTGGGTTAAAGGACTCCTGGTTGCTGTCTTCTTGACCATTCTCAATCCTTTCTTCCTAGTTTGTCCTTCACCCCATGAGACTGAATGTTTGCTCGCATATCTTAACCTATTCAATACCCACAGACCCTCTCCCGAGTTAGGTCAGACACTGGCCATCTATTTGAGTGCTAACACAATTTAGGAACTCTCTCTCTCTCTCTCTCTCGCTCTCTCTCTCTCTGTCTACCTCTCCCGAAGAGCTAGTGTCCCCCCCCCACACACACACAGTTCTGGAAACCTCCCTGTATTAGTCACCTGTTGGTGTCTCCCTTGGTCTCACTCACCAGGCTGCAGGGAGCTGCAGTTGTGATTGAGTCTGTCTTGAATATGGACTCGCCCACACATTTGGGGCTCTCAGCTGAGATGGCCGGAATGGCCGGGACACCTGAGCCTCTCTCTCCACCTGTTCTTTTATCCCAGGCTTCTTCACAGCATGGTAGTCCTATGGTTCCAGATGGGTGAGGATAGATGCTTCCAGATGTCCTGAGGCCAGGCTGGAAAGTTCTGCATTATCTCTGTTAGCGTTCTGTTAGCTAAAATAGGTCACAGAGTTGGCCCTGACTCAAAGGAGGGCAAAATGGCCCCCACCGCCCCACGAAAGGAGCTGCAAATAATCTGTGGCTAGATTTAACCTACCATCCTCCCTTACCCTCTGTCTTCTTCAGTTGAAAATCATGAACTTACCTTCTCAGTATCCTGAACTGCCATCCCACCTAGAATCCCCTGGACCTCAGCTTTTATATTTTTCTTTGGTTCTGGGTCCTTTGGTTCTGATTAGCGACAATAATTCTTTAAATTTGCAAGTTCTTCAACAACAGCAATTTCCCCCCTTTTTAAGCCTAAGTATGACCTGTGCAATGTTTGGGACATAATTATACTGAAAACAAACCAAAATCCCTGTCCTCAGTTGCATGCCCCCAGGGGCATGAGTGATGAGGCGTGAGATGATATTAGTCTAAAATCACAGATGTTCACTTCCCCCACTCCTTTTTCCACTGCCTTAAATAATAGGGCCTCTAAAAGGTTGCAAGTTCTAACCCCACCTGTGGATTGATGCACACATACTTTGCCTGGCATGAAATCAAGCTGGTATGCTAGTCTTAGTGCTATAACCAAAGCCTGACATTCCGATACTAAAATCATCTCTGTTCCATCCCCAGCATCTCTTGCAAAGGGTGAATCACACCACACAGCTCTCTCTCTATCAAAACTGAAGGACACAAAGCAATCTGTTAATTTGGGGGGAGGAGGTGTTGATTTTTCCAGTTTTTTGGGGGGCTAGATTTAATAAATTAGTTGGTTTAATATTTATGATAATGAGAAAAACAACTGGAGATTCCTGCACTCACCTTTACTTCCCTCACAGGCAAGCCGTTCCCATGGTCACGGTCAAGGTCAAGGTCACGGGAGGCATCTGATTCCCTCCCTGCCTCACCAGGATCTCACTGGCCAGTACAAACCTGAAAGAGAGACTAGAGATAGGAAGCACACTCCATCTTTCTGTATGAAAATAAAATCTTATTATGCTCTCCAGTCCAAGAATCACTGCAGTTTTGAGGGATGGCAGTTTTTAGCCTTTCAGTTCTCTAGTCAAATCATGAGAACTAACTTGCAGTTGATTTTTTATTGAAACTAGCATTTATCAACCTGATAGGCACTGTTGATTTCAGCCTTAACATTGATCTCATTATTTCTACTTATTCAGGAATATGCATGCAAATCTTTTGACATAGCCCTCCTAAGTCAGCAGGTTCCCCAAGAGCTAAGCACTTCAAGCTCCCGTTTTCATTGTTGCTGTTTAACATTATAGTCGCTGATAACAATTTATATTAGCCTGTGCATGTTGAGATTGTAAACTATTTTTTTTTTGCAGAAAAATTTGTCTCTTTTAAATAACAGAAACCCCTGTAAATTACAGTTTTCTTGATGGCAGGGACAAGTTCACGGGAAACACAACACTTTTTCTGCTCTGTTAACAATCCTCTTAACGTGACCCCTGGTCAGTGAAATAATCTCTCCAATTTTATGTCATGGCAGCTCTAGAATCCCCTTGGTCTGACAGGGAAAATAGCCTTTTCCAAGAGGCCTCCATGAGGCTGGGATTCAGGATGAATCCCAGCCCGTGGCAATGTATTTATAAACCAGCATCAGATTTGTGGTAGACAAGTCTGATCAATTTGAACTCATGTAAATGGGAAAAGAGGACAATTTTACACGGTGCCAAAGATGGAGAAGGGACATTCCTCCCGATCTCGAATGCTGCAAATCTTTCGAAGTTTTAGTTTTGGTTTTGGTTTTGTTTTTTGGGTTTTTTTTTTTTTTTTTTGTATTTGGTTTAATGATATAAATCGTAAAATCTGTTCAAATCCCCGACTATAAAGATGGCTTCCTGACAAGTGTTCTGAGAAATCCGTGGGCCCTTTTCAAGATGCCCGAGAGTGTCGGGGCTTGTTTGCGCCCTGCATTCTTGCTCAGGCAGGAGCCCCTGTCCCTCTGCTTTGCCCCCCTCTTCACTGGTTATTTATGGTGAGCAGTGGGGTCCACAGTCAGGAGGGCGCCCCCTGCACAGGAGTCGTGAGAGATTAGTTGTCTTCCTAGACACCACACTAAGCATTGTATTTCTCATCTAAGTGCTCTTTATAGCTAGGCTGTGGGACGAGGGGCACGAGTGAGTGGTAGACTCCGACAAGCCGCAGGCAGTTGGAATTTGTCTCTGTCCTGCATCTTCTTTGGGACTTTCTCTCCAATGCACAACCTGCTGTTTTCCTTTATGAAAAACTGGAATTTGGGCCTTGGGAGGGTTGCAGAGAGAATGGAGGAGGAAGAGAGCTAAAATTCCATGGGGACAGGGTGGAGAGGGAAAGATGCCGAGGGGTTCCAGCCGGGGTCCCCCAGTGGTTCCTGCTTTTCAGCTCCTTTCAACCATATTTTCTACCCACTCCCTCCTCCC